GCATGATTGTATGGTGATAGCAACACGTTCCTCTGTCGCAGAATCAGGTGCAATTTGCACCGTTACTTTTCACCGGCAGCAGCCACTGTACTGCGCACAGCTCATGCAAAACATAGATTAGATACATTTGACAAATACATCTGCAGTGCCGCAGCAGACTGTAGGGTGTGTTCAGTGGGTAATGCGATGTTTGTGTTTGACAGAAATTCACACAGCGTTGTGACATCAGAGGAAAAATTCACATGGCACACTCATGTGGGGGCCAGCAAACATTTGACATGGCACGCATTTGCACGCCCGATGCGGCGATGCCAATGCAGCTCTGCCAACCTAGCTACGATTGTGTACGCGCATCGCACACGCCGTGATTCATGTCCTGTATGGCGTGCATCCTGTGCTTAGGTACTTTACGTCCTCCACTGCACTCCCCTTCTGGCACTCACCTCTGCAATCGCAGGGAGAGGAGTTTCTTCCCTCCAACATGCAGGACAACGCATTCCCAGCAGCGTTCCTGTTTGGCCTGGGCGGCGTGGTTCTGCATGAGTTTCTGGAGCTGGCAACTTCCCAGAAGGTGCGACGCTGAATGCCTCGCATTGCCGAAGGGCTATAGAAGTATATGTGTCAGGCAGTGTTTATCTTGATGTCCCCGGGTACCTGCGTGCAGAGATTTGGGCAGCTCACATTGCAGCAATCGCAGACGGAACGTCACGTGTTCAGAAATTATCACAATCTCAATACCTGAAAAGGCATCGTACTGCACATACGTCAGCTGTAGCCACTTCACTCAGATAATGCACTTTCTCTTTTCAAGTATGAACTGATCACCTCATGTCTCTCGGTTGTTTTTTGCTGCCGACGGACACTGCTGCTGACCCAGCATTATCTTTTGTGAGATTCCTTGTTCACATGCGCATTGGCGTTTTCCTGCCATTGCAGACTTCCTGTGTCTCTGGCAGGGCAGTGCACTCACTTGCTGAGCATCTACCTCATCTGTACAATTCTTGCAACGGGATGCTGCACCTTTCCATGGCATGCAACTATTGTGTGTCGCAGAGCGGCATTATGTCATAGAGTAGACTGCAGCAGTGCTCAGCGCTACCTGAGACGACTTTGCACCGCTGTTTTGTTCACCACAAAAACACATGTGCCACCATGGTTTGCATCCCTTGCGCCCTTCATCGCAGCGCACGCGCTGTCAAGGTGTACAAGCTGACCCGTCCTTGGACTTTCTCGACTTAAAATACAGGTGGCAATGCCAAAAACACACATACCGCCATTCTTTCCATCAGGCGTCCTTCACAATGCCATACACTTCTGTCAAGTTTTCCAACTTGCGGTACTTGCCTGTTACTGAACTCCCGTCCTTTGGATGGTGCAGGGTGGTCTGACTGCGTGGGCTCCGCTGCTGAGCATTGTGCTCACCTTTGGCTGCCTGGCGCGCTACGCGCAAGGCCTGGCAAACGAGCAGAACCCCAGCCTGGCACCATCCATCGCATCTATCGTGCTCACTGGTGAGAACAGCTGAAGAGCACTGCTTTTTTTAAAGCACCCTGGTAACCATCGTTTACAAGTTCGCACAGTGGGGGATGCAGTTGGCTTTCTCAGGGCCTTCTAGTGTGTTATAGAGTGTTGCATATGAGCTGCCTGCCAGCAAAGGTTGGCAGTCATGGACAGAACAAGGATAAGGCCCTTTTTTTTACCCCCCCAAAAGTCAGTGCTCTGCAGGTGGAGAAGCTGTAGTGGAGAAAGTCTTTACTATACTACTAGTCATTATTGCTGGCAAGCAAGTCAACCAATGATCGGGAAGCAAGTAGCTGTAGAGCGAGAAAATGTGGTTGCCTTTCTGAGTTTCCTCGTGTTATTCATAATTCATGCTACATGATGCATTACAGTAGGTGCAGTTGTGATGTTGCAGTTAACCCTAACCCTAACCCTGAGCCCTGGACTCATGCCTCAACACATCTCTGCTGATCGCTGCAATGATGATCTCTGTCCGTGTTCAAAGCGTCAGTATTCTCACAGCCAGATAGAAGCATCTGCTGGCCGAGCAGCATACACACACATATCATATCAAACAGCCCGCAACATGGCAATTCAGCAAACACCGAAGAAGGAAATGTTCATGTGCATTGCCCATGGCCTACTTGTGCAGGTACCTTGCTATGTTAGCTCTACAGTACGTGCACACCCGTTGAGGTCCTCTACAGCCGCTCTCATGCTGCCGCTGATGTACACGTTCTCTTCGCGTGTCTTGCTTGTTGCTATGCGATTGCTATGATCAGGGCGTTACGTGATGAATGCCATCATAACCGGCCCGGAGGAGCCCAAGGAAGCAGAGACTGTCACCGCCTCAGTGGTGGCAGCGGGCAAGAAGGTATTTGAACGAGAAGCAAAGCAGCGCATCACAAAAGTCACAATTCAATGGCTAATATATTAGCCCTCAACGCAGAGCTCTCTGCGATGGATTGTTACCGCAGCGGCCTAAGAGTGCACTGGCAGATGATGTATGGACTGCTGTTGTATTGACCAAAACATCGTTGATGGATGGTTGACTCAACTCTTCCGTAGTTACAATCGGGGCATCAACCACTAGTGGACCTCGTCGCCTCGATGTGCTGCTCTGTGCAAGTACTTGACAACTGCGTGGAGGCGCAGGTTGTCGTCGTTGCAGCAGGAGATGTGCGCGTCCCAAAATGCAGGACATGTGCAGCTGCCTCCCTGTGCTTGCTTAGGCCGCATGCAGATTGCTTGGCTACGGAGCTTGTTACGGCTATTACAAGCCAAACCTCAAGGGAACATGTACATGTACATCTACTTTGCATATGTCCCAGACTGCCTGTCAATATCATTTTTCTTGGATCAGAAGTTGTTTGGTTTTGCGCATTCAATGAGCTTGTTGCGCATTACACTACCCACAGATATTGCAGAAAAGGGCAAATTGACAGCGACAGCGATCGCCCCCCCCCCCCCGCAACACACAGGGTGTCTCGATCAACCTCATGGTGCACTTTCTGGTTCTACGCATTGCAGCAGCACGCTTCACAACCCGCAGAGTGTGCATCATTGCACTATGTATGGGTGTACGATAGAAGTCCGTGACCACCTTTCCTTTGCTTTGTGTTCATGTGCAGGCTTTCAAGAAGGGGAAGGAGGCCGTCGGTGCAGTCCCCCCTCCCCAGCCGCCCGCACCAGACGTCTTTGCCGAGTTCATGCCGCACCTTGTGGTACTGGGCATTGCGGTGGCTCTCACTGTGCGCTTCTTGTCAGGGTCCAAGGACGTGGTGCCCAAGAGTGCGCCGTGGTGCATCATGGCGGCGGGCATTGCGGCCTGCGCCAACGCTGTCTACAGGCAAGTGCTCTCGACAGCAGCAGGGGCGGTGGTGTGCCAGTTCATGGCATTTTAACTTGCAAAAGAAAAGAGGCAGTTTTTCTTTTAAGATGTAAATCCCTTGCATGTTGCGCACGCATGTACAGTACTTAAAGGAGTTTTGAAATATCATGCAACGAGTAGCACATGGTGGACAGATATGCGTCACAATGTGCTCTCCAGTGATGCTTGTGAGTTATGCTTTGTTGAAGCGCATCCCTTAGTTTGCCAAACTACTACTTCCCTGCAAATACTTCGTTTTCGATACTGCAGCAGTACAGTACTTGGTGATGATGGCCCCTTCTCCTAGACGCCAATAGCTGTTTGCTGCAGTCACTGACAATGCAAATCTGCATCAATGCTGTATTGACGTGTGACGTGCCACAACAGGACCGCGTCTGCAAACCCGGAGGCCCACCCAGACGACTTTGCGGCCCTCATTGCCATCGCCACCGCAAGCGCCTGCGTGGCACGCTTCGGTGTTACGCTGCAGGCCGACTGAGCGCTGCATTCGCCATGGCGATGCGCTGCATTCGCCATGGCGATGCTCAGCACTCCCTGCACATCACGCTTCAGCACAACGCTGCAGGCTGACTGGCATCCGTGTCATGATGGTCAGCACCACCTGCGCAGTGTGCTCCAGCACTCCGCCGCAGCTTTACAGCGAGCTCGCTGCAAGCCTGCAAAGTGCAACGAAACAAATTACGTCCATATCTGTGTGAAAATGGTGCCGCTTGAAGTGCAATGTAGTAGCAGTGGTGGTACGAAAGCCAGCCAGTGACGCGACACTTGATGCCGGAGGTTTATGGGTTACCCCATGCATGCTCGCTGCGCCGAACTCGTTATAGACGCAATAAATGAGTCAACCGCATTCATGCACATTGCGTCGTGTCATTGTGACTTCTGATTTTGCGTTGCAGTTTTTGACATTCCTTGCATGCGACCTGCGTCTGCAGATGCGCTAACACCAAGTTTCAGTACAATTGCCGGTGCTTGTGTGATTCTCACTGATATCATTCGGCTGCAGGAATTAACCAAAGTATCAACACTCGGACTCCACCCCGCCCCTCGTGTGTGCCATCATTATCATCGCGCGCCCTGCAAGTTCTTGACTCAGCAACACGTGACTTACGCCTGGCAAGTGTCACACTTTACGACAGAACTGCCCCCTCCCGGCTCCCCCACACTCACGCTCTCTCGAGGACAATGCGCACGCCACGTCGTGACGATTGTTTGCCACCGCCTGCACAATAACTCCTAGCAGTTGGTTCCAAGGCCTGTGTTGTGTTGACGGTCGCGTTTTTTTGAAACATAGGCAATTCAGAGGGTATGAAGTGTTGACATTGCCTTTTTTGCTATGCTTCTTGCATCTGGAAATGAAACTGGCTTTGTTTGAAGTACGACACTCGGCCCGGTGCATAGCAATGGAGCCCCCTGAGTAATCTGTGGAATGTCCACATGATTAGCACATGTGAACATGGGACATCGACTGCTCTTGCAGCAAGCGAATATTGTGAATTGACAAAAACTTCAAACGATGTATCCATACATGATATGTCAACACAGATTCCAAAAAGACAAGAAATGCGGTGGGGACAACTTCGCGCACGCCCAAGAGTCGCAAAAGGTAAAACGACGCCGGTGTGATTCGAACACACGCAGGGAGACCCTAGTAGATTTCTAATCTACCGCCTTAACCGCTCGGCCACAGCGCCGGACGATATCTGAACTGGCAATGGAGAAACTGATGTGTGATTCCTCCTACATTAGGCAATTACACAATAACATGGGGCCATCTTGCAAATGCCAATGACCAGCACACACACACTACCACCACAAAATACTGTGCAATAATACAACAACTTGAAATTGATCATTTTTGAAAAAGCGGGCAGCATTCTGCTGCAGAGCTACACTCATCAGGCAGAAAGTGATACTCCACCACGAAGTTCTTTCATGCACACTAAACCGGTCTTTGTGCAGTGCATGGTGAGGGCCTTGTTCCTCCAAATCTTGCAAAAAGTGAATGCCAAGCCGAGAAAAAGACGACGCCGGTGTGATTCGAACACACGCAGGGAGACCCTAGTAGATTTCTAATCTACCGCCTTAACCGCTCGGCCACAGCGCCCGACGATGACTGGTATGGTTCAAGGGAATCTATCGTAGGTCGAGTGGTCCTCACTACGTTGATCAAGCATACATTTCATGATCATCAATTACGGCTTGTGCTGTCACCCCGCAGCAAGCAAGCTTCTTATTCAAGGCATTCTGCGCTGGACAAGGCTAGCAAGCAGCACAGCTCGACTCAAGTTGAGGTTGACTTTGCCGAAGACACCGTGATGGAAAAGCGATACGTATACGCGAAGCAGCGAATGCTGCCTTGTGTAGCGCTCATACTCTGTTCGGTGGCGTTGCTGCAGCAGACCAGTGCGTTCGCACTTCTACGTGCACCATTCGTCACCTCCGGACCCAGCAGGAATCACCATCATGAAAGACAACGACCTGTCGGACTGCGCATGGTGGTGCAGGCAGCAGCCAATGCTGTGACCCTGCAGGGTGCAGCAGGCTACTTGCTGAAGGACACTATTGGCAGAAGCACGGTGCCAAGGCTTCCACTGCTCCAGAACAGGTAACTCACTACTGGGGAGGCAGGTGTACGACAGCATCCGCTAAGGCATTTGCGGTCTACTCCACCCCTCAACCCTTATCAATGTGTACTGATATGTATTGTGTATAGCGCAGCTGATGCGCGTCCCCGGCAAACCAATTCAGCATACAATATTGAAAGCCGCTGTACACTCTGAGTGCCCGTGCAACAGGAGTGCACAGTTTCAAAAGAGAGGATTTGCACAAGTGATGTGAAGCTGACGACGGGACATCATGACCACAGTGCAAAGCTTGAACCGCAATGAACCGGAAGCGTTCAAGACCATTCCCACTTATCGTTCAACTTTTGATATGTGAGTTTTGTTTGGCCAGCTTTTGAGCATGTGCAGGAGAAATGACGCATGTGAACTCAAGCAAGCGCTGTTCATTGTTGTCATGGGCTACCAAGCAGCCATCACACAATACCAAGGCAGCAGGTGTGACAAAATCATGCCTTCTGGCACCTGGTCATTCACCCGTACTATTGTAATCTTTGTGGCGCACCAGCAGTTCATCGCAACACTGTGAACATTTCCAGAGTGAAGTCCGTTGGCCACATGTGAGCGCACTTCTTTTCATTGCCTTGTCACAGGTACTTTGCATTGAGGCATGGGCAGAGCGTGGCGAACATGGAGGGTATTATCAGCAGTGACCCTGCAGTGGGCACTGTTAAGCATGGGCTGACCACCAGCGGGAAAGTGCAAGCGCGTGTCGCTGCCACGCAACTGATTGAGGTGAATGCTGACATGTGATGGGATCTGGCAGTTGAAGTGCTGCTGTGATGTGTTCTGCGCCCATGAATCAATTAAAGGCGCTTGTGCATGCAACTCTGTGCTCACAATGCCACTACTCTAGCATCACAAGCTACGCACCCTCTTGGGTGCTGCTGTGTCATGTTCAACTGCTCAGTCATCTAAAGGCTTCATTTGCTCTACGTGTGCTAATACATAACAGCAATCCACACCTCACTGCTCATTGTTTGACGCCCAGCTTCTGGCTCCTCTGGACTGGTATGGCCCCTTGCACAGCTGCGCCCATATCTTCATGCTCACCGGACCACGCTGCTCCGAAGCGCGCCCAACACAGGACCGCTATACGCTGCTTCAACGGTCATGTAACCTCATACTGTTATCTGCGGAATGTGCAGGCAGTTGGACGGGAAGCTCTGGATGACCTGATTTTCATCTCCAGTGACTTCACACGTGCCAGGGAGACGGCGGAGGAGTGCCGTGCTGCTGTTGTTCGCATCACGGAGTTTGAACGCGAGGTAGGCCTCACGCTTGCCGCTTACACATGAGTGGTATCGGTAAACCGCCGCTTCGCGTATTTCAAATCATGCGCACGCCTGAACGGCGGGTACGTCTTGTTCGTTTGCGAGGTAGAGCGTGCACCTCATGCTCGTGCATACACAATAAATGATTTGTGAATGTGGTGATTGGCGCTGACAGGCTCAGGGCTCAAGTGCACAGGCAGATGGCACAGGAGCGCTGACACTTGTCAGGTCTATTCGCATCACACAGTCGGAACCAAAGGTTGGCTCCATGTGTTGGCACTGACTGAAAATCTAGTGAGACCAGGGTCTTCCTATACTTCAGATTTTGGTTGTCATGCGCGCAAGCCAGTCAGCTGAGGATTGCCTCGCAGTACGTTCGCACGTCAATGGATTTTGGCGCATGTTAGGCCATGCCAGGACAATGTACCGTGACCAAAGATTTATACCGATGTCAGACGCCTTCATATAGGTGCCATTTCTTATGTGCTGAGCCATTCGAGCGGCGCAGGCAGCAACACACGGTCTCAAAAATGCAGGGGGCGATGCTTTGTCTCTGTTCATCGTGGCATTGATGTCGGTTTTATCGAGTACTTGTGTGATGGTGCCATTGGCTTTGCTTGGATATTTGATGTGACAGTCAATTGTGCATAGTGCAATAGTATTTAAAGGCAGCTGTTGCTGATGGTAGGTCGCCAGTGTACTGTATGCCTCTGGATGGCAATGTGGTTTATGCTTCATCAGTACTTTATATTGCCAGCTGCCACCTGGTTTTGTAGTATTGTGATGTGATAGTAGCTGCTGTCGTGTAGCAGGTGTTGTCAACATAGCTGGCTGTTGCAATCGTGCAACACATCACTGCCCACAACAATCAGTGTAATCAGTTTGACAAAATTACGTTGCAGGATTAACATGTACTTCAAAGTATGCATGGATGGCCAGAGGTCACACCTGTGACATAAATCACGCTGTTCAGCCATTGAGTGAATCTGTACTGGAATGCTTGAAAGGGTAGTTAATGCCTTCGCTCAGGAGCGGGCTGTTTCAACTTTGCTGCTGCAGGTTATTGGAGAGACATTTGAATGCCCACCAGCTGTCATCAGGCAGGAGCTGCGAGAACGGTACTTTGGGGAACTGGATGGCACTGTGCTTCTCAACTACAACAAGGTCAGCAAGTGAACTGCCACTGCAACTTGAATTTGAATGCTCAGTAGGCCCTGATGTACTCTCAAGCTGGAAATCTTGGGGCATACTGACGAAGCACTACATCTCAATTGAGCGCAACGTATAGTGCAGGGCATAGGATTGGATGAAAAACCACAAGGAATGCTGACGCCATAGCACTGCATTGGTGAAGATGCTCAGCAGCTCAAAATTGAACCTTGCTTGCTTGCTCAGGTGGCTTTGTCATCCATTGCGAGGGCTTCAGGCTTTGACATCAAATATAAGTGCATGGCGCCATTTGCCTAGTCTACCCCCTTTACCTTGTATTTCATTTATGGGTTACAAAATTGGGCACCATGCTTTTTCGCAGCAGATCTCAGGAAGCTGCACGAGTCTCGCCCTGTCGCCATGCGTACTGACAAGTCAAAATTATCCAATGCGTCCAGTGTACAAATGACACACTTTATAAACAAAGTTGCTAGTTAAAACAGGTGGCTCACGACGCAATCCCATGCCTGTGTTCAGGTACATATGGCCTGTTGCCTATTTGAAATGACAGCAGTCGATTCGCCACGTGGCGAGGGCACCTACCTGGTGCCTTTGCAGATGGCAGCCGATCATGCAGTGACATGAGTACGGTAGCAGACGTGAGCTTGCCCTCTCGAATGGCAGAGGAATGCACACTCGCTCAGTACTAATGTGCAGCAATTTATGTTCAGGACAAGTGTGGCAAGCAGGCCTTGTGGACAGCAGCGGCCTTGGTGCTTGTGACTCTTCATAGTGCTTTCACTTCTTGTGATGTTAGTCAGCAAACAAGGCCGCTGACTGTGACTCTCCCACAAATGTCAAGTGGTAGCACTCGAACTAGCCTATTACAAGCTGATTACATGAATAGAGTCAATAACTCTACGTGAATCTGAAGCCAATTGCATCCTGACATGCAGCCACAAACTCCAGGGTTCCTCGGCTGCTGCCTAGCGGTTGCTTGCATTAAGCGATTTTCACAGCGAGCCTCGTGTTTGTGCCGCACCTGTAACTGTACAACAGGTGTGGCCTGCCGACCTAATTGACTCGAGACACGCGGGCTATGGCGTGGAGAGCGTTCAGGACGTGTGCGCGCGCATGCAGCGCCTATTCTTATCGCTTGAAGAGCAATATGCCGGCAAGTGCATGGTGCTCACCTCCCATGCCGACACATTGCAAATTATGCAGTGCTACGTCGCGGGTGCTGATGAGCGGTTGTTCAGCCAGTACAGGTTCAAGAATGGGGAGGTTAGAGCGCTGTTGCAGGAGCAGACATCGCTGCCGCCGCCGAAACCGCTGAGCTACAACTGATGAGCCCTTGCGCTGGTTTATTAATTTGTCACCATCACTGAGGATTACATGTACAGTCACACTTGATTTCTCGTAATATGCTTCAGATGTATCAGATGGTTCATGATGATACTTCAGTATACTTTGAAGTCACGCAAATATACTGTTCAGGACCTCGTCACCCATTTGTTAGCGCAGTGGGTGCTGTGACTTGTGGCTTTTGTTGCCATGTGTCATGGATGTTATATCGCCTTGCTGCAGTCGAGCCAGTTGCTACTTCATCACATTAGCTTGCCGCAACTTCAACTTTCATCTTCGTGA